TTATAGTCGATTTTAATTAGAAAAGTGTTAAAGTCGATTTCGGATTTGTAAATTGGACATGTTTATCTGAATGTTACTCTACATCTAAACATTGGGTTAATTTAGTTTGGCACTGCTACAGTATGCATTAGTACTAATATTCACTGCATGCAAACCGTCGATTCGAAGAGATACCAAAACCGGAACACAGATTAAATGAAATTATTCAATTCAAACTTGCAATTAAATGTCAACACATTGTCGCACTTTATTAGATTTGTAACCCCATTAACTTCACATGATATCGTTAATTTCAACTGAAGTATCAGACACAAAGCAGATTTTGGTTCTATTGACACCTTGGTACCGATTTTCACAAAATTTTGTAGCTTAATCGGCAATGAGAAAGTGTGTTAGAATTGGATGTGATTTTAGTGACGGATGGTTAAAATCTATAATGGTTGTAGTTAACAATATACGGACTAAATAAATCAACGATGGATGTTGTACATGTGTAAACATAATGATGGATATATTACAATGCTGTTATTGACGGTTTTGGTAATTAATAATAATGCATCAACCTGGAATATTATTCGTAACACACGAAACAGATATAGCGGCGCCATTAATAGTCTAAAAAATGTCCCCAATTTATAGGTCTGCTGAATAACGTTTTAATCGTTCTAACAGAGGGATGTGATAGATTGATTAAATAGCGAGAACGCATTGAAAAAATGGAAGGAAATTGTTTGAATAAAGTTGCGAGTCATCAGGAAAAAAAAACAATAAATTTGAAAAGGGCTATTATTAGAAATTGATAATGTAATAAGGGCCGATATTAATGACTTTTAATGTTTACATTAAATCTGTTGGAGTTATTTATAAGTAGATTAGAGTAAAAAACAAAATAAACAGAGAAAAAGAAAATCTTCGATTTACTCCCATCTCCGGTTGCGTAGGTATTAAACTTTTTGGGATGTGGTGGACAAAGTGCGATAACCACAAATTGAAGATCAGAATAACGCGTCGTATTGACCCTTTTTCTTGCCGACACACATCCTTGTTTAAATTTCTACAAACAAGGTTTCTCTAGTATTGTAATCCTGTCTTTATTTTGATAAATTTAAATCGATGTAGTGGAAGGTTTAATTTGTTTCAGAGACATTTCAATAGTTATTTTAACATAAACAACCGATGTGATGGTAGAGTATAAAAGTTCAATGCCACTTTTCGTGTAAATAAGGGTGCCAGACTAATATCACCATGGCGACCATTCAACTCTAACATGACGTTTTCGCTTTCAACGAGTTTGAAAAATTACAAAAATGAAATGTGCTCACGCTACTAATATTTTTGCTGTCTCTTTAAATGTGTTGCGATTCGCACGGATATTGCACATTACCTAGCAGGAATTCTAATCGATTTCGAATATTGCTGCTACATCAAAAAATTTTTATCCCCAAAACAAATCAACAAGTTATTCAACTTCTACATCGTTGATTAGCAAAGTTGTTTTTTCAAAATTTGTTTGCACAATACGTTGTTTATATTCATAAACACTGTTCCGAGGATGAATTTTAATGGCATCGAGCAATTTCTTGCCTTTTTTTTCATTATCCTTTTAAAGAGATTCAATTTTGTGATAACTCTTACAATATACATTTTCATGTCAATAATATTAGGAAACTGGTATGCATTAATTTACCAAATGCTACTATCTGCTTTTATATCTCATAAAAAAGTCGTTTGGGTTGTGTAGTGCACCACTAATAGCCTGATTTTTATTCTTACTTTATTTTTAGCTACTATAAGTTATTATGTTTTGAGCTATATATAAGCCATTTTTTTAACTAAACATATTCATTTTACTATATTTTATGCATTTTTAAAATTTTAATTCTGATCATCTTTTCTAAGAAGAATAAGAATTCCTAATAGAATTATCTAAGATATATCACATTTTTATTTTATAGGCTCCCGCTACATAAAAATAGATATAAAAAATGCAAACCTAGCTGTGCAATAAAAAAGGTTATTATGCATTTAGGTAAAATTTTGCGGTTTATTTTTATTATTTCCTATTTAAGAATTATAACATTACAAATCACTATTTTCTCAATTTATACTGTTTTAAATTTGCAGTATGGTAGCATCGTATCAGTCGTCTCTCTATCTCAAATAATGTTATGCAAATTTTATTAAAACTTTTTACTAAAATGAGTTTATTTTCTTTGTAGAATCTCGGTTGGAGACACTTAAGACAAAATGTAGTAATTTTTCTCGTAAAACAGGATTTAGTTTGTTTAATTTTTAATTGTGAAAAGGCGCTTAGTAGAAACAAAACCGTTACATTGTCAATTACAGCAAATTGAGCCAACAGTTTAATATGACTTGAATATTCTGTGTTAAAGCTTGGAGTTTATTGAATTGATAGCAGTTTCCTTAAAAGTAATCTTTCCGAAATCGATCAAAGCGGCAAAGTTGAGCAAAAGTTGTTTGAATCTACTTTCACTATCTAATAGTATCATCATAGCCCTCAGAATCCGAATTGCTTATGTATTTGTCGTAAATCGTGAATGTGACATAAAGATAATTTAAACGTTTCGCTTGCATGCTTTGTTACAAGTTGATGTCAACAGCATCTGCTTTACCATGTTTCTATACACCCTAACTACAATTTGGATGTTGTAATTAAAATATGCTATACAAGGTGTTTATAATTTAAATTATTTTAGCACCGTACTGAAAATAATGCTGTTGGAAAGCTGCGATTTTGCGGTTAGTTTGAAAGCTTCGGCTTCTTATGTACACGAAAACAGTGGGAAAGTGCACTTAGCGACTCGAAACCGCAATTAAGGGGTTAGGTGTACCCCAGAACGTGTTATACCTTAATAAAGTTCACTTTTAATTAAACAAAATTATCTAAAATTGTCAAGAGAAAGCTTTAAACATTTTAAAAGGGAAGATATGACACATTTCAGCTTCATTTTCATTATAAGTGATAAATAGAGATTTACGAAACCGGTTTTGATTTAGTTAACCTTCCACTTTAGAAAAACCGAAACTGATAAATACCACTTTGCACTTCATGAGCTTTTTATTCTCTAAATTTTTTAACTTGTTAAGAATAGTAGCTTTTCGATGAGTTAAAAATGGAAATGAAAGTGGTCGTGAATAAGTTTGAAAACTTGGTAAAGTAAGTTACGTCGTTTATTTGTCCATTTCAACTCTTTAAAATTATCAAATTATTCGAAGAAATGAAACTTGAATCGAATTCAGTCTCATAAAAAATAAGAGAACGTTTTCAATTGGAGGCATCAGAATGCACAACACACTCCCGAACCTGTCTCTAGAGACAATCAGTAACTCATATAGCACGCTAATCGAAAATGTAGTTACACATCTCCCACACATCCAGAAATTGAGTAGAATATAAATTAGGACAAGCTGTTTTTGTTACCCACAAAATGATTGATTTCTTAAGGTCAGTGAAATTCCTTATTTTATGCGAGGTTTATACAAGCAAGTGGGAATAACAACTCTGTTTCATTTCATCTCAATTATTTTCTTCATTTTTTTAACTGGTATTAATAGAATTATCAGGGCCAATAACTCAGGTGCGTTAGCATAAGTTATTGTTTACTCCATTTTCAGCATATGCGCATTCCAGCAGCAAAATAAAGAATTGTGCTAGCTGTGGCAGTTTTCAAAACGATTTCCTTAAACTCTAGCCCCACAGAACGCTATTGTAATTTAAATATACATGGCGATGATTACGAATGTTGCACGGCTGTAGGTTAGTTAATAATACATTTGTGGTGCAGCAGGTTGTTAGTGATTTTGCTAAGCAGGATTTGGAACATTCATGTGTCCGAGTAATTTGGTGATTTTTACCTATTGATTTATGGCAGTTATAGATGCGAAAACTGCGGTTAAAGTCTCTTTAAATAAAGAAATTAGTGTGGTAGAAGATATAAATGGAGCATAGCCGTTCGGAACAGATGATGGCGTAAACTGTCGGCAGGAAAGACGCAAAGAGAAGATTAGTTCAATGATGTACGATGACGGCACAAATATTGCTTGAAATTTTTTCTTTTCTTTTTATAGAAATGCATTTGGATAAAATATTACCTTCTGGAATTCAAGGCGTGAAGTTTTTGTTTGGCAAATAAGTCTTAACCGGATTTTCCGGTGATTAAATATGAAAAAGTAAAAAACAGTCGACATGTGGCAAATTCTTTTAATACTAAATCGATAATAAAGCACTCTGTTAAAAGAGTGAATTTACTTGAAAAGTTTGCCACAAAACATCCAGTATGGCATTGTAGTCGGTTCTGGCAGCTTATTATTGGAATATATATGTCCAAAGTTGGTATTACTGCGCCAAAGCGCTTTGTGTTCATTTCCCACTAAGATAAGCCAATTATAAGCATCATCTCCATTTTTTGCAGGTTTAAACAGTTTTTAAAACTTTTCTAACTTAAATATGAGTAGCACTTTTTGTTGCCCTTATATAATTTATTTCTTTAACTACGTCGATTATTCTTCTTGCTTGGTTTCGTTCAAGTAATTTAAAATCTTCTATAACAAACAGAACAAGGAAACATACCGGAAGAGAGAAAATGAGATCCCATTTTTATAAACAGAACGAAACACTAAGAAATTAAGGAATTGCGATGGATCACAAAAAACAAAAAATTACATTAACTTTGTTCTTGTTGGAAACTCACAAGATATTTTACGCCACTAATAAAGCTTAAGCTTTACTACAAACCGTTGTGAAACCAAATCAAAAAGCAGTCAAGCGATTTAAATGTGTTTTACAAAAAATACAAGCTGAACAAACCCAACGATTTGTTGGTTTAATACATATTTTTCTTCAAAATATTCCTGGATTAGGTATGCATGTAAATTTATTTAAAAAAAATGAGATTTTTAAAATTTTACACGCCTACATAAGCGAGATAATATTTAGCAAAAATTTTGTTAATGGACATGAATTTATAAATTCTTGTGAAATAACTTATTAAATATGTTTTTTGAGATACAGAAATTAATTAATTCTTACTTTGTATTAAGTGAAAAGACGTTCGTATTTTAAGAACATGCTATTTTTAAATGCAAGAAAATCGTCTTTGATAACAAAGCTTAAATTTACTGAAAATATTTGCCTTCATTTCCACCTCAGACTGTGTTTCTCCCCTACCGCACCATCACAATTCTTACAAAACAAAACTTAAACCACTGAAAATTTTCGCCCCCACTCTCTATCACCCCCACCGCAACACCACAATTTTTCCGCTTTCTAAAAAGGGTGGGGCACACTGTATTTAAACAGCAGCCACTGGTGCCCAAATTCAGTTTATTCCAAGCTTTCCAAGATGTTTCAAGTGTTTCCTTTTCTCGTCGCTGCGAATTTAGCCCTGCCGAAGCTTCGTCTGCCCGTCGAGATGTGGTCTACCATTTTTCGGTAAGTCAAATTTATTTTTATTGTATTTATTTTTACTAATATTTTGTTTATTTCAGGTTTTTGGACCCTTCATCTCTTCTGAACGTGGTTCGAACAGATGGCTTGTGGAGCAAAATCAGTCAAGGAGATCCAATTTTGCGAAGGACAGTTCTAGAAGAATTGAATGCCGAACGTGAAAGACAACGACAAGAAATTTTGAATCCCGGTTTGCTGATGACGATTGAACGGAAAGGACCAACGAAAATGTTTAATGTTAATGGTACAAAAACGGTTCGTTTCAGGGCTCCAACCGTAATCCAACCACCGCCCATTGAATTTTTGCGACCTGTTGCAGAGAAAAACAAGCAACGACACAATGGAGGACCATCACGAAGCGAGAAAAAGGTTCAGGCTTACCCTCGAAAATTGTTAAGACTGTAGAATAATAACTATATTTGTAATATGTTATTATTTTGTACAAAAACAATAAAAAATAATTAAAAATTAAATTTTTGTTACAGTTTTTTATACAATCTAATTAAATCTAGTTGATTAGGGTCTAGAAATAGAAACCTTGTGCAGCAGAAAAAAATAAAAGAGTGTAATTTAAAAGATTTGTTACGTAGTTTTTTGTAGTGCGTTAAATGGTACATGTTTTGTGACAAAATAAATTTCTAGAAAATATATATGGCTTTGTTTTTTGCTAAAAGGCAGTTATTGTGTTTCCTATTCTTTCGCGTTTTTGTTACATAGAAAATGAAATATGGGTTGAACCTAAATCGTATTACGCACCGCCTAAGCAGTTTGAAATCTTATTTTTTTTTGAATACATATTTAATTTTTTTCCTTTTTGTCCCATACGCTATAATCATTGAAAGTGTGTGTTGTGTTTTTGGGATTTTCTTGGAGGACAACAGTATTCCGAATGTAGCAATAACCAGACCGTTTTCCCTTGAGTAAAGTTGAGTTCAGCGGATGTAACCCGAAGACACACATAAAGTAGTGAATTTCGGTATTGCGAAACGGCATAACTGTGAATCTCGGGGAAACAAGCATTTCACAGAGCCAAAAGTTGAAATGCTGCATTGACGGTCAACATGACTGAGATGATTTGTAAGATCGATATTTAGCGCGTTTGACTAAAATTTCAAAATTCTAATTTATGATGACAGCCTCCTAAACGTTGCGAATCATTTGTGCTCGATTTAATAAAATCGTTGGGTGGATTCCCATTCGATAAGATTTACTGCCCTCTTATTTCTTGTCTCCGGTAAGGAAAAAAAAATAATTATTTTTTTACAGTAATCTATGTACACAAGAGACTAATTTATAAAACTGACTTTTATTTCCTCTGCTTTCAAACGGGTCTGCTGAGATTTGATCGTGATAACCCTTGAATAAAACCTATTTTTTACTTTTATTCACGTACCGTAACGACTTAACATATCCATGCAAATTAGACCAGAAGGAGACCATAAACAACTTTACCACGATAATGGCATTGTTGCTATAGCGACTTTAAAATTTATGCAAAATTTAAACATTGCTTTTGCAAGGATCTTATATTTATTGCCTGAACTTTTTAGACTGCTTGTGAAAGTTTAAAAATGTACGTTTAAACATTAAAGTAACAAAGGGTGAAGTCGTTGAACGCATGGACAAAGCCAATGAATTGCTTGAATATTGATAAAAAAAATTGTTGAATCTTATTTGCTCTGTTAAATTAAAGGCACAACACAGAACCTCCTGAAACGTTAAAACAGTTATTGACGCTGTTTGTTTTGATTCTACTATTTTTAGTATTTTTAGGTTTTAAAATCGATTTCTGCTTTAGAAACGGTTTTTTTTACAAAATCAAACTTGACTCGTTTTTATTCTATTTGGGTAGTTTGAGCGCTTTCGTATTTTCAGCTTAATGTACATAATCCGACAATCTTTACGCTAAACAAAAATACCTGATGATAAGTTTATATCAATTAATCTCTTCTTTTGTTTTTACAAATGAGTAATAATCCGGACTGTTTTATTTCAAACAAAACTTGATATTTTAAATTAGCTTTAACACAGCAAGCTTTAAATGTAGCTTATTTTCTATACATAAATAAGTTGACTATGACAGCTATGACAGTTGTATGATAAGGGAATGCTTATTGGTTTAGACCTGCACCATTTATCAAGAAATAACGACTTGAGTTTTAATGTAGTTCATGAAATAATTTAATTTTAAAAATTTTAGCAAAGCTACTCATTTTCTTTTTTTCAAAAGCTAATTTTGTTTAAATATTAATAATAGAAAGAAATTTTGTAGATCACGTAGGTGTAATAGATGAGCAAAATTTTATAGTATAGTAAAACCGAAAACTTGTTACTTTTTATATTTAATTTGGAGTTATTTTTAATTTCTCCACTTATATTAACAAAGACTTTTATTAATAAATTTCGTTTAAATATTTTTTTTATATCTTATGTTTATGGCAAAGATTAATTCACATTCAAACATAAATAAATACGTTGTATGCATTGCATTACAAAAACCATAATTTCAAAAAATAGTGTGTGCATGTGTAATTAAATTTAACGTTCTGCAACATTAGCAGAATTTGTATGACTATTTCAGCTGCCTGTGACAAAAATGAATTTTGTTGGTGCACTAAAATTATGTGTTTGGTATTTTTTATCCTTATGACAGTAATGTAAAAAAGACTTTACCGCAACAACCGCAAAAATAGGTGCAATTCAAAAATAAAATTTAAATAATAAGTTTTTCGAGAAAATAGAGAGTTTGCAGCGACTTATAATAATAAGTGTTTACTAATTATCAAAATTCCGTCCTGAAACCCTCTACAAAAAGTATCTGACATGCAATTTTATATAGAATCTGATCACAAATTTGAAAACACGATAATTGGTAACTGTTAAAGATGTCTTGAGACTGACAAGTTTGTTAAAACTGTATTGTATAGATTGATTCGCATCAAAATACAAGCTTTATTAAATGTTGCATACAAAAAAAATAACAAAAGTAAACGCAATTTTCTATAAAACCAAAGAATTAAAACGAAACTATAAAATTTTTCAATTATTTTTTTTGCAGTCCAAAACCTTAAAATTTATCGAGGCTTCTATTTATCTAATTTCTAAAGTGTTGGAAATATTTATCTATTTATAATTGATGTTGTTACAACACGTATTATATCCACTCTCAGATCAATATAAACATTGTATGTCGTGTACACCTATTCAGGTGCGATCGATATTAATATTAAAATTTTAAACAAGGGAATAATAGGTGTTAAAAAAAAATATATACTTTTTTAAACTTTATAGCAGAAAAGTGTATTTGTTACAAAAAACAAATCATTTTACAAATGTTCTTCTAAGTTTTTAAAATATTTTGTTATTAAAATCTAACAAAAAAAACATAATTTTCTACTTAAATATTTAACAAACAGCAAAAGGCAAAAATAACCAGTGTGTTTACGTTTATAAAATATGATTGAATGTTTGTTATACTTATTAACCTGCACCGGAGCTTTCAATCTGTCAAATTAGAAAAATCGTTTGTTTAATCCTCCACTGCGTTGTTAGCAGTTGTTTTATATTAATGTTTAGCAGTCCGATTAGCTGTTTGGCTATTTGCCCAACGCTCTTATTGTTCGTTATAAAAGTATTGATGTATAAACTAATATGGCCCAATATCTTTTTTTTGTCTGATCCACTTTAGAAAGTCTAGTCTACAGTTTACCTCTAAATTGGTAAAAATGATAAATAAAATAATCAGTGTGCAGAGACTATCAGTGTCCGATCTCTATTGATAAGAATTTTTCAGCCCTCGGAATGTGGGTATGGAAATTTATTTTTTTTGTAATAACTTTGGAACCATTTGACCAAATATTATAAAATTTGGAATAGTTACTTGCGAGAACATACCTTTTAAACTAATAATCACGAAAACCGGACACGTCTACTCAATTTCCGGTTTCAGCAGTTGCACGTCTGTGTTTTTCAGTTTTTTTGGCCTTTTAACACTAATTTTTTGTTGCTTAAAACTAAAGAGTAATCAATTTCGATTAAAAAACGCACAACCTTTTATACCACTAAAATGGACCGTAACGTGAGGACTGCACAACGCTGAAAATGAAAAATATGAATTTTGAATAAGTTGTATCTACGGCAACCAATGACCATGGTCACATAAATCCCTGCCAGGCATCTGTTAACTTTGATGATGATGATACATTTTTGTGAATTTTTTATGAATTAAATGCTACGAGATCCATTTGGATTTATTCAACGTTATATTTGGAGTCTGAGATAAACTCTTTTATTAAATATTTTCGATTAATCGTCTAATAATCATCCAATACTAAGTTGACAGATGCCTGACAGCAAAATATGTGACTATGGTCATTTGTTGCCGTGGATATCACTCATTCAAAATTCATACTTTTTGCTTTCAATGTTGTGTAGTTCTCACTTTAAATTACAATATCTTTAAAACGGTCCATTTTAGAGGTGCGTTTTTTATTCAAAATTGATTACTCTATTGGTTTGATTAAAAAAAAATAATGTTAAGATGCTAAAAAACGAAAAAACACAGAAAATACGACCTGCAATTGCTGGTACCGGAAATTGAGTAGATGTATCCGGTTTTCGTAATCACTAGTTTAAAAAGTTTGTTCTCGCAAACAGCCATTCCAAATTTTATAATATTTGGTAAAATGGTTCCAAAGTTATTACAACAAAAAAACAAATTTCCATACCCACATTCCGAGAGCTGTAAAATTGTTATCACTAGATATAGGACACGAGTCATTATTTAAATTAACATCATTTTATCTCTCATCTCATTTGTGAGATTCAAATTTTGCTTTATATTTATGAATAACCCTGTATCTTCAAGAGTAATAAAATGTGTACGATTTCCCCGAGACGAATATAGAAATGAGTTTATACCAACTGAATGCTTTTTTAATATAAAAGGTTTTAGTAGTCATAAAAGCCTCTAACGCAGGTGTACTAGTCCTCGTATTTCGGTATATAAAGCTCGAGACGTAGCTCTGCCAGATTCGATCATAATCATCAAACTTTCGTCAGATCATGGGACTTGAAAGAGTGGGTTAAACGTGCGATAACAAAACAACTTTTTTCTATTTCGGTGTCACAATAAGCATTTTGTGCAACTGAAAACAGTTGCACGAAATGCAATTTTGTGACACGGTATTTTGGCGACATTTTATGCAATACTTTGGCCATCACTGGCCATAGACTGTCATTTTTAAGTAAGAAATTGTTGCAGTTCAACGTATTTCACCAAAACTAATACAATTTAAGCTATTTTTAAGCAATTTGGGTACCGCATACGTTAAAAAAAAGAATTAGTTTTATTTTTTTAATAGCCACAATATGCATATCAGATGTTCATTGGGTTTTATTATCTA